GTTTCCATATGAGAGCGAGCATTACACTTGGTCTGCATTGCATGCGGCCAAGACGCCTGAACACTGGCCTGGCCCTGTCCCTGACGAGTTGCAGTATGTGATTCCTATGCCGTTGGACAAGGTGTGGGAAGCCATCCCAGAAACGCAAAGTGGTGAAGAAGGGGCATCAACAATGACAGGAGGCAAAGAGGCCGTTTCCTTGGAGGAAATAAGCGAGGAAACTTTGGAGTTAAGATACAGTCGATCGAAACTGGGGCTGCCCAACTACAATCTTGTCTTTCAGGGATTTTGAGCCTACAGTTTGGAACTATTTCGGAAAATAATGATGTTTATTATTGCCCCCATCAACAGCAGAGTGGGACGCGACGCCGATGAAGTATCATTTCCTCAAGCCAAGCTCTTCGTCGTTAGACCGCATACTTGATCTTTCCCGTCTCACTGATAATGCAAATGTGCTCCATCTCGCGGAACACCTGTCACAAAATGGCAACAACACATTAGTCCATCCACTCAACGCAAAAACGAGCCGCAACTCACCTCATTATAGTCCAGCCCATATCCTACCACAAACTGATCCATAATGCTGAATCCGTAGTAATCCGGCACATATCCATTACTCTCCGGCGTCCGCTTCACAAGCATGCTTACAACGCGCACACTCGCGGGCCCATAAGTCTTGAGCCGCTCGAGGAGCGCAACCATGGTACGCCCTGTGTCCACGATGTCTTCCACAATGAGGAGGTGCTTGCCCTTGTAGGTGCGGAGCTCATCTTCGCTGAGGCTGATTTTAACTTGACCCGTGCTCTTGTCGTTTTCGTAGCTCTTCACCTGAATTGAGTGTGTAAGGCGCGCCAGGAGGGGAGGGGGAAGGGGGAGACTCTGTCTTGTTGAAAGGTCGTACGCTATTCACCTTCATGAACTCGTAACTGAAGGGAATAGATTTCTGGTTGGGCGTCCGGACCTTGCGCAGTGCGTTCATGAGGTCCGCGTAAAATACGCTCGCCCTGGGAAGACGGGAATGGTGTCAGACCAAACGAGTTGGGGACCCCTGTGGCACTCACCCTTTGAGCACGCAGCAGGCAATGATGGGACCCTCCGAGTCATTCGCAATGTCTTGGGCGAGCTTGTCGATGCGGTTCAGAATGAGGCCGTGCGGGATCAGGACCTGCGGAAGGTTGGGTCAGCGTTTCGCGCTTTCCAGCCACAGATGCGAGAGGCGTGCTCACGGATTCCACATCATCGTAGTAGTGGTGCGGGATCACAAAGGCTTCCTTTGGTAGGGTGGAGTCGACGTGAATTCCAGACATGTGTCGTTGAGGGCAAAAAGAGAAGGGCTGGCAGGTAGTTGCTCCAACAAAAACCTTCTCCTCAACGCGGTCTAAGAAGGAAAAATATTTAATTTACACTATCGCCATAAAAGAACGCGGAACAGAAAGACGTTGGTAAGAGTCAAGGTGCAGCCTGCAAGAGAGGGAATCCAAAAAAGAGAGTATAATCAGTGAAAGGAAAAAAATAATTTGGTCCCTGCCGTGAGAAGCCCAATCAAGCTCGCTGAACGGCCTTGCAAGAGGTGGCCTCGTGGAAGGCACAGGAGTCCTTGCGTGTAAAAGACTTTCCACAGTACCGGCAGTTGGCGCCCGCAGATTCACCGACACTGTGCACCGACCGTTCATGCCTGGATTTCGGAGGTGGCGTTAATCACGAGTAATTCCAACCCCGGCAAAACCAAGAACGGACCTCTTCAAGTCGTGGTTCCGGATGAAAGCCTGATCGCATTGCCCACAAATATACGGTTTCTCTCCCGAATGCGTTAGCGCATGGCTCTTAAGTAAACACGGTTTCTTGAAGGCTGTGAAAAGGAAGAAAAAATTTCAGTTTTAGGGTTTCACTCCCAGAACGCCACGCAAGTGTTACTAACCTCGTGTGCATCCTGGATACTCGCACTCGTAAGAACCTTTCTTGCTGTAATGCGTAACAGGTCCCGGGCGTGACTTTTCACCCTTGTCGCCACCCCGAAGCGCTGCCAACACGACAGGCGGCGTTGCCATGACCGGTGATTTCCGATAAGCCTCCTTGCGTATGTGGGCCTCTTGGAATGAGTTTACGAGCTGCATTGACGGGAAGACTGGCGCCTCGTACTGGTATCCACGCACGAAGCTGTTACTGAGGAAGGTTGTGGGCGAAGTGGGCGAGGTAGGCGAGGCCGAGTACGAGTAAGGCGTGTGGGTGGTATTGTCCTCATGTTCTGTGCCGAGAAGGTCAATTCCACCAGCACCCTTCAGTTGCGATGGGTAACCAGGGGAAGGGGGCATCGGCGAAGCTGCGGCGGATGCGACCGCGGACAGCAAAGCCATGGCCGAGGGGCCCTCGCCCTCTAACTTGAGGCTGCCGTTTGCTGCGCAGCGGTTGTAAAAGTCCGTTTGGGAGGCCATTGAATGCGTGTGGTGAACAAGGGGAAGTGGGTTAAAGTGGACACAGAAATCTGGCGAAACGGCTTTGCGAATCGTTTGGAAATTGGCCAGATCCGGCAGCCATCTGTGAGAAGCGCACTGCGACGATGCTCGTGCCATGAGTTATTCAGACACAGAACACAGGCAGCGATAAAAGCATGAATGTATGTATTTTACATGGCATCTAAGGCAAACTAATAATTCAATCATCGGAGTCATCCTCAGCACGACGCTTCCGTTCATCGCCAGTTCTCACCCTCATTTTGATTCCCTGTCTCGCAAAGCATGCCGTCAATGGCGTGCTTTGTGTAATACCCGGGTACTCTTTCGGGTTGTAGACTTGAAAGACGTCGCTAAAACAAGTCGCCAGTGATGAGGGTTTCTCAGATGTACTATGTAAACTCCACGTCAGCCAAAAGTTCAAGAAAATGCCGAGAGAATACAAAGCATCACATCACTAACCCTGTCATCATTTCAAACAAATCAAAACGCAGTCTCCATTTCCCGCTCGTGCGTATGGAAAGTTCAGGGTAAATGAAAAAGAGGCCACGCTCGTGATCCAAATCCATCAAAGGTGTTGAGATCGCCACCAACTGACCCAGCAAAACTTGGTTGTTGATGTAAGCCTTGGTGGTTGAAACGGTGTACTTGGCGCGCTTGGAAGCCGGTCCTTCGTCGAGGGATGATTCATTCTTGTCTGAATTGAGCTTGTACCGAAGGACAGGATCGGAGGCTTTGGTGGAATACGTCATATTTTGCTGCAGATTTCTGAGTAGGGAAAGGGCAGAGAAAGGCGAGGGCACACTACGATTAGAGGTGTTGGTAAGGTTAACAAAAAACACTCACGGAGTCCACAGAGAGACAAAGAGTACATGTGACGCAGTATCCGCAGACCTCTTTCCAGACAGTTTGAGGCTGCATGAGGGAAATCAAGTTTGAATTTTTAATTAGAAGCAGAATAATGAACATGGTATGAAGATAGTGACGCACATTGGCGGTGGATGTATAGGCCTCCTGTCCGAGGAAGAAGTGCCGGAAACTCGCCCTCTGAGTGGTTGCTGCACAACGGTAAGCTGCAAACTGTTTGCAGGCTGGCGTGAAAGATATCAAAATTTTTTTTGTGGCCGATCCCTTTCAAGCAGGTTTCCACCAGATCGGGAACACAGAGGGTTTGCGCCTCGTACCAGTGAGTTGGAATCCGAGCTGGCGGATGAACGCGGCGCCGAGGAGTTCGTCGATCTCGCCTCGGCGCTTCTTGAAGGGTCTCGGAGGGATTTCGGGGGACTGGGCAGACTCGGGTCATCCTGCGACTTGACGGCCCTGGTTCTCTCTTCGTCGCCGACCGTTTGCTTGCAGATCGAAGGCAAACACGACTCGCTGGTTGGTGGACTGTGTTCGTGGGATGCCTGGCGAGCGTCGCGTGGTGGTAGGTGGTCCGAGCTACCGGGCAGAAGTAAGCCCATGGTGTAGGCTCGTTTTTCTTCGGCTGCTATTTTCCCGAGCCAGATTCACGGAAGAGCAACCACACAACACACGAGAAACGACAAGGTCGCGGAAGATTATCATACATTAAATGACAAGTCAAAAGAAAAGTTGAAGCGTTCAATTCGAACCTGTCACCAATGGTTTTTAGCAAGCAAGGCTAAATTTTTGTTATGTCTCTTGTTCATAACCAGTGAGGATTCTTCGTTGGCCGCCACCGCATCTGCATCGTATCTCTTTGGCTTGATGAGAATCTCCTCTAACTTTGCGATTGAGTTAAGACCCGATTGAGATGCAAATTACTCGCTTCCTACCTGGGTCCGTGATGTGGTTCAAAAGTTGTTCAATAAGGATGCTTCAAGCGCACAATAGAAGCGCAGACTCCGTCAGATCAGATTTTTCTGACCTTGTGGCATGCGTACGATTCAAGCGAGATGAAATTGTGAAGGTGCTCGTAATACAGAATATTCTGCAGAGCAGACGATTGGTTCGCTGAGCCCTCCTTCGATTCAAGAACATGACGAATCTCACCATGCCGTTCATGATGTATCTGACAACTGGGAATATGGCCGAATCCCTCAAGCCTTGAACGAACAAGCATTTGGACTAAAAAGCGGAAGACAAGCGTCGCTGGCGCAGATTGTCATCCGTGGGTTCAAAACGCTCTTCTGATTCTATAAAGAGGGAGGATAGAGAAAGTTGACTGTCTCATTTCAAGTGAGGAAGCGACTGCTAAAATTCGAAAAGATGTGAGGGAGTTAAAAAAAAAAGTTTCATTATCTGAGGATACTTTGTCTACTTTTTGCGTTTGCTTTAGGCCTTGTAGAAATCCATTCGTATTCGCAGCATCTGTGAATACCATTCTGGCCGCAGTGATGATGTGACGCCAACTACTACTTTCATCCCCGTTCAATATTAACTAACAGTACCACGCACGGTACGGTGCAGGTCGCCTACTCCTCTGCCTCTAACGCCTGACTCAAGGCGTTTTCATGGATATCGGTGAGATGTCCGGAGGTGCGTACATAACATCTGTTTAGATAGTCATAAATGACCTTGAAATCGTATGGGGGTTTAGCTCAGTGGTAGAGCGCTCGGTTTGCATCCGAGAGGCCGTGGTTTCAATCACCACATCCTCCATGTACGCGTAAAATGTCATATCCGTTTTGCATGTTTACATACTGCTGCGTCGGTAGGATGGTCATGACCTGCGTTTATGTTGATCAAAATCATATTCCCATGTTGTGCGTGCAAATCTCATGCGTGTAAGTTTCGAAGTCCATGGTGTGTTAGACGACATCACCAGATTTAGCTGAATGCCTGTCCAGTCAATTGTGTCAATGTCAACACTGAATTCTGTGAGCACGAGTAGAGGTATGTCAGTGCGAGCAATGAATGTGTCAGCCTGGCCAAAACGACGTCAACCATCTTCATTCATCGAACTTTACATCGTACAGAGAGGTTTTACATTCATAAACAAACGAAGGTCGGGAAAACACAGCTAAAAGGCGAAAATGAAAGCGGGTCGGCACATCCAAACAAACAGGGGCGGGTATTGCTCATGCACAAATCCCCCAAACCCGTCGCTGCAAATCGGCGTGACACACCCGGAACAAAGGTACACACGCTGGGAAATCACAGTGGAGCCCTAAAAAAAAGGCACCATAAACACCTCCCCTTTTCCGCGCCACATCCCTTCAATTGCGCTGCCTAACATGCAGCGTCGCACCATCCGAGAGCAACTTCCCCAAGTAAGTGTCCACGGCTACTATACCCAGCTTCTGGCACTGCCCTGGCGCAAGGAAGGCACTGCTCACGAGCACAAGTTGCATGCTTCCTGCGGCAAGGCAGCCACAGGACATCTTGAAAAAGAAGTCGGAAACTTGGTTCCGTGGGGAGGGGATTGACCTTCCGACATGGCGTTAAAGAGACTCGGTGACGAGACCATTTGTCCAAAAGTATGTTTGATGAGTCACCTGACCCGATTGAGGCCAAAACACAACAACGCACCATCAAAACTGTCGACGGAGGGCCAGTCTGGCGAGAGGTGAAGGCGAACGAGTAGCTGGTTGGAAGGGAGAGAGAGGGTGAGGGCGATGAGTGCTTCACCGCCGAGGATGAGACGCACGAAGAAGCGAGGCAGCCACTGGAACTGCCAAGGGCTGGCTCGCGGAGGAGGGCAAGCAGTGAATCCTCATCTGAGGGGGGAGGGACAGCACTGGCTGCGCTGAGCTTGGGCCTGCCAATGATTTTTCTTGTTTCCGCACATTAACTGCGTTGGAAGAGGAGAAAGCAGAGATAGGGGCGCGGAAGGACTGTTTCTTTTAAGGGAATCGAGGGGTTGAAAATTTTCATCCAACGTACAGTTATCCGTCAAAGGAAGAAAAATTTTACACCGGCGCGGGCCTGTTCGGTGTTGCACTGGCGAGGAGAAGGGGTAAGGAGATGTGTGAGGTGAAATGACCGAGGTGGTGCACACCAAGCTGTGTCTCGAGGCCGTCCTGCATGGTACCCAGTCGAAGACCACAACACCTGTGAGGAAATGGAGACGCGCGCGGTTGGCTGTGAAGATGTGAGGATCACGGTGGCCCCACGGGCGGACAGGGTCTTGGCCGTCTCGAGACTAAGGCCCGTGTTGGCGGCACAATCACGACGCGGCCCACGCACTGGCCCTTGAAACCTGTGCGGCGGTTGAGCTTGCGTTGGAAATATCATTTGCAAGGATCGTGGCACTCCTTTGAGGCTTGAAAACTCATTTAATAAATGGAAGGTAAGTGTGAGGGCAGGTTGCAAAACGAGTCGACTGAGATAAGGCGAACTTTGTCTCTATTTACGGGCACTTGAGTGTATTCATCAAAGGAGTAGGGCATTGAGTAGGACGCATTCTTCGCCAGTCACTCACGATAGATCTTCCCCTCCATGACAGTGTCAATGGGATAATATACAGATTTTCACGACGAAACAACTCATTTATTTCACCTCCTTCAGAAACTCCGATAGAAAGTCTATTTTTAAGAAAAGAAAGGATCTATCTGAACACGATAATCTGTTTGGGGAATCACATTCCCGAGAGCTGCTGGTCAACATTAAGGTTGTCTTGCTGGTACCGTGAGCTGAAGCCGACAATATCTCTCAGAATGTTGAGCTGCATCGGACTCACCATGAGCGGCGTGGTGGCAATCTGCCACACGATACCCTCCGTGCAAGGTGGGGCCGTCACGCTACCCTTGTAGTGGTAAAACTCAGTCTTTTTGAAGAGCTTCTTGATGGCTGAAACGTTCAGGGTATGGAACATGGTTTTCCCCTCGACCACAGTGGGCCACTACATTAGAAGCCTTCTTGTTAGGGGTTTCAAGGAATTTAAAAGAAAGGAGAGGTGACTCAACAAGCTTTTCAAACTGAGCGACCCAGTCGCTCTTGTCTTCCACGCTTCCGTACTCGAAGAAGACGCTGAAGATGGAAACGACCTTGTCCCCGCGCTTGTTCGTGCCCTCGTGCACAAACTGAACCTCAAGGGGGTAGTCTGGAGGCCAGGACCCAGAACAAACATGAGTCAAGGGATCTACATTCAAAAGAAGTTGGATCCACTCACAAACTCCGTCCAACGAGTGTTCGCTTGGCGTCATAAAGTCGATCTCCGTCACGGTGAAGGTGATGCCACCAATAACAGTCTTGAAGCCCCAATCATCGGTCGGATTGAGGAGCATACCGTTACCGTCGTAAGTGAGGTAGCTGTCGCACTTGGCAACGTCCGCCCACTTGCTCGTATCGGGCTTTTTCAGGTTCACGAGTTTCGCGCTCTTGGGGAGGTTCACAGGACTTTGGTACTTTCTGTTGTTTGAATTATGGTTTTATTTTTTGACGGGTCATTATCAGAGTTGGCCAGCGGGTTGTTGTCCGTCACGTGCCACAGGAACTACGTGAAAAATAGAAAGGTACGGTACCCTGTGGCGCAGACATGGCAGTTCTCAATTTGTCCCCAAAGCTTCTCTCCGCATCCGTACGTCCACAAGTTCGATGGCGAAGCCGCAGTGGTGCTAACGGCCATGAAAGTGTCCTGCCAGTTGGCGCTAGCTAGGCCGGCGGCGACAAGGAGGAAAGGCAGAGCGAGCATGTGGGTGTGTGGGTCTGACTTTGTTGAGGGATTGTCAGAAAGGGATGAGTTGAGACGAGACGAAGGGACTGTTTTGATTCTTGACTGACAATCCCTTATTCGTTTGACAATCCTGTTCCTTGCAGGGCTCGCAAACAGACCAGCTCCGAAATCAAACACCATCCATTCCCCTCACAAGATGAAACTCTCCTTCCTCTCCATTCTCGCCGCTGTAGGCATGTCCGTCTCTGCCGCTCCATCTGTGGCAAAACCCGCCGTTAGCTTCTCGCCCAACTGGGGATACGGTGCCCTGGAGGCCAAGTGGGGAAAAATTAATGAGTGCTGCGCGACCGGGTAAGTCCTAGTCAACTCCTTTCCTTTTGGGCCACGCTGTCAGATGACCCAAACACTCACAGAAAGGATCAATCGCCCATTAACTTCCAAGGCGACACCTTTACCCTCACCTCCGGAACGCCCGTGTGTCAATGGAGTCCCTCGTTCTACGGGCCCGTGAGACTTAACGATGAGGGCTCCTTCCTTCAGATTCTCTTCGACGAAATCAGAGCGAAACAGCAAACAACCTGGAATAATAAAATGTACTACCTGGATCACGCGGACGTACACAGTCCGAGTGAGCACCATGTCGATGGCCAGTGTGAGTTCTATCCACTCGTATTCTTCCGAACCTGTTCTGAAGTTGATTTTGCTTGAAACAATAGGGTATGACTTGGAGGTTCAGCTGTTCCACTACGCTGATGCCAACAAGAAGACGCCCGTTATTCTTAGCATCTTCTTCAACGTGGCCGACACACCCAGCTCGTGGTTGGGCCAGTTCATTGATGGCCAAACGGTACAAAAAGAAAGCCTATCTCACTTTGCACAATGCAATCCAATCTAAAAGGCACCGCACAATTCCCTCTTTCAGGAGCCCACACCAGGCAAGCCAGTGACCGTCGGCAACTCCAAAACCATATTCCACAACTTCAAGTTCCCCATGAGTGTCAACAATTGCCACTTCTATGGTTACACGGGCTCTCTCACCTACCCTCCCTGCACAGAACAGATCCAGTGGTTCGTGGCCAAAGACGTGTTTAGCGTTAGCTTGCAGCAGTTTGAGTTCTTGTCGTTCAATAGCAAGCGCTCAGACCGTGAGAACCAGGCCAACAACTAGAGACAGCAGCTTTAAGGAAGCGTGGTCTATCTCTTCTGTTTTGATTCTGATTTTGTTCAGTGATGTCAGCCGGTTTTACAATTCGTTTTAGACGTAATAGAAAACTCATTCGGTTTACGATGATTTAATAACTTTCTGTCCCTGCAGTACGTCAAGATTTGCGGGAAATGATGGTCCCTCGGATAACAAAGCAGTGAAGCCACCCAATTTGGTGACGCGTGCGTTTTGAAACGGAAAACACTCCAAAAAGACACCCCACAACCACAACCGTTCAATCGCCAATAGTCACTGAAGTAGGATGAGAGAACTGTACAAGCAAGGCAAGAATATCGCAGCCAACGCGCACAGTCACGCGTCGAAGCGGTTCAACGCGGGTGCCACTCACCCAAAAAACCCGCCCAATGCGGCGACCTTCTCTAAGGCCGGACCGTACAAGACAAGTGCAACCACCGCAACTAAAGGCAAGAAGAAAAAGCGTATTACTTCCGCGGCGACACCTCAATCCCGATTGGTGGCGTCGGGGGCTGCGCCACCGACACCTGTCGATGTCCAGGCTTCCTCGTCCACATCCTCCAATCTCAGCCTCCAGGCTTCATCAGCATATCTGGATTTCACGTTGAACCCAGGAATCGTAGCCCGCGTTTTCACATCCGTGTTTGACGTCTTCTTCAGTGCACCACCCAATTCTAGTTACCCTTTATGCGCAGGCCACCTTTGCACTTCTCCAGCATCCTCAGACATTTACGAGGTTCTAACTATTGCTCATACTCCTCCTCCCTCCGCAAACAGTCTGCCCGAAACGCTAGCAGTCCCAGCACAGCCACAAGTCACTGTTAGCACTCTTGTCAAAGAGAATACCGAAAAAGGTCTTCAGAT